ACAACCTAAAACCCAGAAACTCCCCAAACCTTCAAGTAAGTGTTACTTCAGTTAGCCGATAAACCGACAAAGGCAGAAACCTGAAATCCTTTGCAATCCTTAGCGCAAACGGCCTCCGTCGACGTTTTCGACGTGTGCGCTGCTTGCGTCATGACCATCCTGCTTGCTGCCCAAAAGGGCATCGCCGGCTTAGGGGCCTAGAGTAGGTTTGCGTAGACATTGTGGGATTAAGTGATGGTTAGGAGGGCCGAGCGCACGAGGTTGACGGCGGACCAGCATTCAAACCTGAGATCGTGCCTGCAAGCGGCTTTGGCTCTTTGTCATCTCAGCCTCCATGGCATCCGACTGCGCAGCCTGTGGCCAACAACGGGCACGGCATGGCAAAGCTTGACGGCAGCCAAAGTAGCAGCTCCAACACGGCCCTTCTGGGCTGCATGGCCTGCATCTATATGAGAGACACACAGTGGATGCATGCCGGTGCAGCTGCCTCGGCTTTCTCACTCGATGTGGATGTCGCATCAGCACGAAGAGGAGTCTCTGCCGAGACCTGCTGAAATCCAGCAGGAGCGGGATGTCTAATTGAGATACAGCAGGCATGACTTAGCGTAGTAGCCCGTGGTCGGCTGATTGCAGTGCTGTGCTTCTAGTGTTCTACCGATCTTCAGTTGCGCCCCGTGCCCATTTATGCCCAATGTGCCCTACAGTGCCCTCCAATGCCCTCGGCTTCTGGCGAATGGCACCTGGCCTCTTCCATCAAGGCCGAAGTTTCCATGGAAAAGACACGAAAGTAGTAATCAAGACGTTGGAGACCGGATCCGACTCTCCTTCTAGTACAAGGGTACACGACGAGCGCTGCAAGGACACAGGTGTCATTGCATGGATCTTGATCAAGATTGACATGCTGCTTTGGTATGTATGGTGCGCTTTTTGCCTAACTTCCAACATGCAAATGGCTTGGGAAACATTGCTGGATGATGGCTGGGCCCTTACATGCCTTGGCCACCGTCAATACCTATTCTTCTCACTGCGTATTGCATTGCTCAGCTGAGGGAGCCTCGAAGTGCCTGAGGATCAACAACACCAGAAAGAAATGGGCTCCTAAGCAGATGGGCTCCTCAACATATGGGCTCATGTCAAGCCCTTTACGCGCCTTGAGGGCCTTGGAAGGAAAGTGGCTCTTGCGGCATCTGCACGGTGCTTACTGACTAGCGAGCCTGGCGACAAGTGCAAAACCATGAGCGCACCGAGGCGATCCAACTCATGTTTCCTGCGTGCGCGCGTGCGCGCGTTGCCCAACTCCAACCACTCCGGATGGGTCAATGGGCATAACAGCATCCCGTAGGATCCTACGATCCAAGGGCCTGGGCCCCATGGACGCACTCGTCGACTTGCTGCATCATGCTGCAGGGTGAGAGCTTAGCAGCTATGCCGGCTGGGCATCTGAGCTCAGTGTCGTCGCTTGCCGTGATCCAAGAACTGGCCTAGTAGGACTGGCCTCTTGCCTCAGTGACATGGGCACGCTCCAGCAGGTTTTGCTGGGGTACCATGAACTGGTCAAGACTCTGAAAACTTGCAAGTTCTTCACGAAGGTCACAAAAGAGATCACCATTATTCTAGCACCTCATGCTTTGCTACTGGCTTCCCTGCTTTCTGACGATCGCCTAGCTGAGCCTCGTACTGCTTCAAGCATGTGCAGAAGTTGCCTGCTCGCAAGTGTCCGGTTGATCCACATAGTCTGGGTCAGCTGCTACTTCACTTTTAGGATTGTGGGCTAGGTTTTGTCGGGACTTGCTACTGGCATCTGAAAGCATATCCAATCCTCTCACGAGGGCGGTACCAGTCAAGTGAGCAGAAGCAAGCTCGCATAATCAAGAAGCACCGCAACTTGTGCCACCTTCAATGACATGTGTACTCTAAGATTCCATACACCGCATCCCATCGCCAGAGATGTTTTATGACTCTTACACAGTAATCCTTCTATTCTCCAGGAACGCCCTCCCGCATCTTGGCGCCTGTCGTCCAGACCCAGCTCTGGTAGGGCCCAGGAAGCAGCGCTCACGTCCTGGCCAAAGGAATTGAACCCAGCCAAGCTTAGGGTCTATAGGGTTTAAGCTTTTCAAGCTCTTCTGAGGCCATGCGGGACGGAGTCCTGCATATGAGCTACACAGTTATACGGTGATCGTGATCGCCCAAACCATATGGGACCAAGGACTGCAGAGTTCCGTAGCTTGGCTACTACCAGTAGTGCCCCTGGATGGATGCTGAAGTGGGCCTTACCCCAAGGGCCAACTTCTACGCCAGGCTGTACTGGAAGGACTTGCAATCTTTGGCTGGGCTGGACTCTCATTGGATTGTTGAACTTGCTGGTAATGACATCATGGCCTTTTTCACAGAGCTGGCTACGGATTTTGCCCATGTGGATGTTACCGAGCTTCGGGCACAGAAGCTCTCTGTCCAGATTCCACCGCCAGGTTTCTCACCAGCGCCAAGACAACATCATGCTGAGGAGCCTCTGGAAATGGATGATTTGCCTTCTGTGTTTCCATTGCATTGGAGAGCGGGATTCCATGTAGTGCTGTGGTTACGGCTCCCACTCCTTCTACTGACTTCATATGCAAGTTTTGCGAGTTTTGCGAACATGATTCTGATGATTTACCGCAGCTTTTCACACACATCAACTCCCACTTCCCACAAGCTCTTGAACAGAAGCATGGAGGGCTGGAGCGCCAAAAGGCAGGAGGAACGGAGTCAGCATGGCCCCTCTGCCAAGATGCGGGCACTCTCGCCGCAAGATGAGCAGCTCAAGAAAGCCGTGTTGCTGGTGTCGAAGATGACGCTACGTCAGAAGCTTGAAGTTCGAGAACTTCAAAGTGCTGTCTTCAAGACCTTCATGCTCAAGAAAACCAAACCCGCTCATCACTGCTGTAAAGAGTGAAGTTGGATCTTTTGTGAAGAAATCGAAGCTTGCGCGCACATCCGGTGGAAGCATGCCTGACGGAGAACTCCATGCACACGCTTGGGCTGCTATCACTGGCATTGCTACACAGCAAGTCTCTCTCGACAAGGCCCTCAAGAAGACCATCGTTGCTCATCGAGCTACAATGACATCGCCAGATAAAATCGCCAACGTTGTCTACATTGCAAATGGAAGAAAGCCTTCAATCGGAGCGAGTTCAAGCTTTTCCTTGCCGTCGGCCATCATGACTAAGCGGTTTGCCAAGGCGCACTTGCGACTGGTGCGGTTGAGAAGAAGGGACAGGCGCCGGCAAGCGGAAGGCTCGGAAGCTGCAGTCTGGTCGACAAGCTGACCGAGATGACAGCAAAGTACTGCTAAATGTTTGTTCCTTGTTACAGGAGATTTTGGAGCGTTGTTTTGCGTTTGTTTGCTATTTTTGCAATGTACTTTTGCTTTTTGTTTGCACGTAGACTCAGACCTGTTTTGCTGGATTTTGTGCCGGATTGTTTTTTTCAAGATGCTAATTTGTGCGCCTACGGGCCATGTGTCTTCAACAGATTGCATCTGAGCCGCTGCTCGCTGAGCGCTCTCTTGCCTCGAGCAGCTTCTCGGCCACAGCTAGCGTGCTTGCGCCGTGTTTGCCACGTCGGAGCCTGATTTTTTGGCCGAAAAGAGTGCCCAGACACAGTCCGTAGGTCCATGTTTGTGCTTTCAAGGTGTCGCAAGCCCTTCGCAACTCGCCTAGCGAAGCTCAGTGGAGGTCTTCAAGGCCGATTTTGGCGATGCGAGAGGCTTCACATTCGTTGCGGCGCAGGCGCGGCCGGCCGGTGCGCGGCCGGAGGTGTCCAAGCTCATCCGTGCGCTGCTTGGTGGCCCAGCTGTGTATGGTTGTGCAACAGCCATGCGTGCTTTGGGTGAAGAAAACAGTCATGCCTTCAGTCAGGTCCTTGGGTTGAGTCTGACATGAACCCTGAGGCAGGAAGTCAGTCTTGTTCTATAGCAAGTTGTGACGTGGACGGTGAAGCCAGGCAGACGTAGACTGTATTCCTTTTTTCTGAACCCGATTGGTAAAAGACCAATGTGTACCTTGACGTTCTGCCTGAAGGCGCGAAGTGCTTCTTAGACGGTCAGAGACCATTGATTCGTATGGCAGGCATGCCCCAGCTTCGGCGCTCCGGTTGACACAGGTCCCTCGCCAGAAGCAGAAGAACACCTCTTGCGTCCTTCACCCTTTTGGGACGACCGGTAGTGTAATACTGACATTGGCGTGCGGTGATTGGTGGCGGGTTTCCTGCACCTGTCCTTTAATGTAAATTCCAAAGGGTGAATCCAGTCCTTAAAGGGGTTTCCGCAGGGTTTCCGTTCATGTTTGTTAAGCTTCTGGAGGGTTTCCCTGGGTTTCCCTGCAGTTTCGCAAGGGTTTCCGCGGGGTTTCTGGGGGTTTCCGTGGGTTTCCTTAGATTTCGTGCATGTGTTAAAACCTATTGGATGGTTTTGGTAGGTTCCTCAAGGCGTGAGGGTTTCCGTGGGATTTCGTGCAGTTTTTGAACTTTCCGGAGGTTTTCCTTGAATTTCTCTAAAGTTTTGTGAGGGTTTCCGCGGATGTCCGTGGGTTTTGTCAAGTTTTGCCTTGGTTTTTTAAAAGCTTTCAGATGGTTTCCCTGGGGTTTTCTAAGGTTTGCGGGGTCTCTCAGATCTGCTCTTTTCAGGTAAAGGCAGGGGTCATCCTTCGTTTGAGACCCCCGTTCCAGCCTGGATTGTCAGATGCTGGGAGGAGGGATTCCGGAAGTTAGGTCCCTCCAATGTCCTGCTTTGATATGAGATACTGCAGTATCTGAACACGGTAGTGTCCAAGTACTGTCCACCTCAATCTACGATGAGAACACAGCCGGGCCCTAACTCTCAGTTAAAAATGTCTGGGGGTTTACGAAAATAAGGGACCCCTCATGGAGACCCCAAACAGTAGGATCCCCTTAAAATAAGGACTCCAATAAGGCATCCCTAATTTCGGAAACCCCCATCTAAGTGCAATCAATCACTTTTCCTACTCGTCTGAAGCGACCGGTTCCATAGCGTCGGCAGGCTGCGGGGATTCGGAAAGGTCTCGTTCAAAAACCAGGACAAGCTCCGTATCCGTGCCCATCGCATTGTTAGACTGCATCTGTGCCACGAGGTCTTCCTCAAGTGTTAGAAGATGCAAAATGTGTACCGAGTGCCTCTATGATGCCAACATGCGTGGCATTGCGCGGCATTGCGTGGCGGAACAACTCAGAAAGTGAGAATCAAAAACCGCCGGACAGCTGGCTTTTGCTCTTAGAGTATCGATTACAGTGATTACAGTCCACTACTCTACTAATTGCTTAAGAGCCCCCAAAAGACTCAAACATTCTTCCTTATTAAGGGTAATATAGGGAGTATTATTTTTCATGTTTTGGGCGTTCTTGGTCCACTGTAACGGCATGCTAACTGACTTGGATAAAAACGCAACAGCTGAATGCAGCGGGCATCGACGGTGTTGATAAAGGATGTGTCAAGGATTGTTTGCCTCCATCGCCCAAGGCCACCGACGATGTTGGAGACGAAGTCTTCGGTCTTGATGCCCAGGTTCGCCCTATCCATCACCTGATCACATACATCCCTCGATGCTCTACCTAAACTCAAGAACTGTTGCATCCAATGAACCCAACGTATGTCGAACAACTACCCTGATCCCCAAACCTTTGAAATGGGGCAGCTCACGTGCCCAAGTTGCGCTGTGCAGGGTGGCAACTCAGCCTGTAACCCTAAACCCTAAACCCTAAACCCTAAACCCTAAACCCTAAACCCTAAACCTATAACGAGATTGTGCTGGTTATGAACTCAAAAAGCAAGGGGGAGGTACAAGTCGTACAAGTACGGCCGTGGCACGACTGTCACTGCGTGCAGGATGTCGCCTGGAAGGCACCCAAACCATCCATTTGCAAGGTGTCAGAACCCCTAAGCCCTAAACCCCAAACCCTAAACCGTAAACCCTAAACCCTAAGCCACGCTATGAGCGCCCACGGCTCCGCTGGTTCCACGACATCTGCTTCTGAATTTCCATATGGACGCTAGGGTGAAGAGGTGTTTCGCGTGTGGGGCATATCAGCAAGACTTGAAGTCGTGTCCGAGCGAGCATGGCTTGTTTTCTCAGAGTCGAGCATTGAGTAGGCGGATAATCCAGCGTTGGAGAAAACTGTCTCCCAAGGCGATGGTAAGAGGACAACTCTGGCTTCTCTGGATTATTGGGTCTCTCTAGGCTAGTAGTGTCTTATCTGGACAAATCGTGTTTCTAAACAAATACAAATTAAATAAAAAATTCGGTGCATTCTGAACACTCCGTATACGCGATTCATGTAACAAAACACATATTTAATTATTCAATACTAACTGAATAACCACTACTTGAAAGACGAGTTGAATACAGCTAAAATCTGAATTAACACTGCTTTAAGATACAATAGCAACTCTTATCACACTCTTGAAGATACTGAAATACAAATTCAAAAACCACCTATATACTGTGTCTGGAAGAGCACAAAGTGCGCAGAACAGCCTAGAACAGCACAACTAAAATAGAAACGTACTTGAGGTTCATAGTAAATATGGACCCAATTATTGCTGTACTTGTACACCAATTATAACCTTTTTAGGGCACTTAAAGGGCCCACATGTGGGTTACATAAGTACAGTTATAACTGGTTAGTAAGTTCCATGAACCTCCAAGTGTAATCTGCCTCGAAAGGTCACTCGGGTAATCCACAAGCCCGAAGAGAATCCGAAAGCCTCAGCTTTTCGCCCTAAACCCTAAACCCTAAACCCTAACCCTAAACCCTAAACCCCTAAACTCTTGGGAAGCCTGGATTCTGGTGCTTCCTCGCGCAAGAATAATGTTTCTTGAAGGCCGATGATTTGTCTGCAAATCGTGTTCTTCCAGACAAACAGCTCTTCTACTAGGCAACAGATAGATCCAAAAACTCGAACTTGCATCCGAATGACCACGAACCATATTCTAAACAGTTCATTGCAAGATTCGTTGAATACAACCGGATATGTGCTAAATAGTGAGTAGACACTCGCCTAGACGAGCACAGTTTTCTTAGGAACACATAATTTGCCTAGTGAAGGCTCTCGTACTGGGAAATTCCACAATTCCAAAAATCCAAAAGATTTTGGATCCGATGTACTGCACAGGTATATGAAGCCCGATCTTGCCACCAGAAGAGACACAGCGAAGGTTGGAGTGTTGTTATTCCTATAGCGCCTTCGAGCCTTTTGGGAATGTGCAAAACTTGAAGACTCGCTTTCGCATCTGCTACTTCCCGACTTCGTAGCTGCATTATTTTAAGACGTCTTGCATGGTATAAGCACTACAGTACGAGAAAGGCATAAGATGCCTGGTACGTTCTAGGGCTTGATTGCATTTCGCGAGAAAACTAGACGCCGTAACACCAAAAGCACTGCTGTGGGTTGTTGGTTTTCCGGGTTTTTCGGTTTCTTCATTGTGGTACCAGGAAGAAAGGCTGATCACACACACTAAATCAATTTGGAATACCTAAGGAAATTAAACACACATATGTGTATATATATATAGATGTACAATGCTTTTGCTTCTATAGAATGCCCATGAACCTAAATAACCCTGATCCTAGTCCTGTCACTGGCTAGCCCTGATGAGCCTGGCAATACCACGCCACCCTTGGAGGCTGCACCGCCTTCCAACACATCCTCCACCAAGAAGGCTCCCTGGACAAAAGTTTTCGGATTTCGGAATGCATGTGGTTGGCATAGGATCAGGTGCCGGCTGCAAGAGGAACAAGCATGCATCTTGGTTTCGCGTTTTTGTTGTAGAGGCTTTCAATGAAAGATGCCGACTCCTAGCCCTGCCTTCAGTGGTCCGCTGTTGCACTTTGTCAGCTGCAGCCCAAGCGGAAGGCAAGCTCGAATCATGTAGAAGGCGACCTCACGGCCATCGGTGAAGTATCGCACAAGTTCCAACCTCTCGGTTCCCTGCTGCGGTAGTGGTATCTCGAAGACCAGGGGCTTCATCGCAGCAGCTTGTTGCACCTGTTGCGTGCTGCGGCCGCCTGCCTGCAGGCCTCCACCGCTACGCAGGGCCTCCTCCAGTTCTGCGTTGCAGGCAGCCAGCTTCTCATAGCTGTCTTTCCAGTCCACTGCACACGCCTCTGGCATCTCCGAGGCACCATCTATGTCAAGGCTACGCAGCTGCTCCTGAAGGAGCTCGTTGCGGTCCATTTCCGCATCATATGCGGCCTTCCACACTTCGTCCTCTGAGCCGCTGGTGGCATGGACTTGCACTCTTGTGCCAGCATTGCGTGGACGGAGGGCGGCGAACCCAAGTAAGGTTGGGCTGTCCAGCACCTGCCAGATCTAAGAGCTAAGAATGCTAATTGGAACTTATCTGACTTATCTTAGTCTTTACTTATTTCAATTCAAGGCTGAATTTCCCTGCGGCGCTGCGCTCAGCACGCAGACGCCGCACAGGGCACGCTTCCAGCGGAGAAGACGGTGTCGCATGGCATCGACAAGCGCGGCAACACGCGATGGGATCCTAAGAGAATTATAAGTGAATGGGGACTGCTTGGAGTTTGCTGGCTGCATGACCATAATTGACGTGTAGAGCAACCTCCGTTCATTTTCATTTAGCCAAGAGTGGGTTGATATTGCTAGGCCTACCTATTGGGGACATTGCGTTCTTTGCTAGCTGCTGGCCGCTTGCCCCTATCACATGCTCGGAACTTGCAGAACAGGTGTTGACAATCAATGGCCTGCGGCAGCTGCTGTAATTGCATTTGTTCTAGCACGGTGCCAGGTCCCACAATGATCCGACTCAACCATGCACAATCCATAGTCCATGCCCTCGAGGGCGCACCGCATCGTCGAGATAGACTTGGGTGTCTTCCAGGACCTCCCGAAGCCTAGCGGAGTTCACATGCGGCCCCTGATGCGCACGAAAGATTGGACGCCGTGTATCCCAGTGTGACAACAACGGCTGCTGTGCGTGCTCGGGATGCAAAGCATCGCCGCAACCATCCTCAAGTACTCCAGCGGGCCCCTAAACCCTAAACCCTAAACCCTAAACCCTAAACCCTAAACCCTAAACCCTAAACACCGAAACCCTAAAGGATCCCTGAAGGCCTGCTCTCGAAGACCCGGAGGGCATACTCATCCTTGGGACCCAGCATCGCCCAGGCCTCGGAGGCGACGTTTGCTGAATGCCGGTTTAGGGTTTAGGGTTTAGGGTTTAGGGTTTAGGGTTTAGGGTTTAGGGCATACAGCCACCAAATATACCAGGGACCTATTTTGGGGGTTTACGAACATAGGGGACCCCCTGTTTTAAACCCCCAAAGAGTAGGCTTGCCTTCTTAGAAGGACTGCAATGAGGTACCCCGAATATGTGAGAACTGATGGCGGCCAACTTTGTGCTTCCACTCCTACGAGGAATGCGCCCTGGCAGGGAAAAGTCTGAGATGCAAGCCGTGACAAGCCTCACGACATCCCGGGCCTGAGCGACAGAAGGACAAAAAGTGCTTGACATCACTCGCCACTGTGTCAACCTTGAGATCGATCACTTGCCACTGGTCTCCTTCAATGGGTTGGGCTCTGAGTCGCCTCCTTCAGTTCGAACTCGGTAGTTAACACGGTAGAACGAACTTGGTGAAGTCAGCGCCAAACTCTTCCCAACTTGGGGTGGGGCGCCCAGGACTGGCAGCGTCTCCCTGATGGATGTGGTCAGGATGTACTCTTGGCAGCATACTTTCTGAATGCCAGAATGAGGCAGCAGTCAACCAGTCTCAGTTCCCAGCAAGACGTGCGGCATCGCGCTTCTGAAGACTTCCCGCCCTTGCCACATTGGTGGTTGCTGTGGGTGGCTCCAAATATTCCGAAATTGCCAACGAACAGTCTTTGCCCCACACCGTCCCTGCTGATGAGCTCTGCCAGCTTCGTTGCGGAAGGACAGGGTTTGCCTACATGGGGCCTTCGTGCTGGTTCTGATAGCTCAGATTGCCCTTTGCCCGTCCACAGTCCACAGTAACCTAACAAGCCCTCGCGCTAAACCGTCCTCGGAAGCATTCAGCATGCCATAGGAATGCAAAGCGCACACACCCACAAAATCAATCAACCAACCAATATGCTTCAACAAGCACAGGCACGGTGTGGGTCGGAGTTGTGATTGTCAGCCGCCCTTTCGCTTTGAATACTTGGTGCGGCCTCGAAACCTGGTAACTTCGCCTGGCCCCTTCGAGGCTGATTGAGGCTGCAACTCGTCGTCGGCCAAACATGTCGATACGCCACGTATATAGCCTGCTGAGATGATATGATGATGCCGGCGTGCCGACGACATTGGCAACTATGATTCTGACTGTTGTTATTCTGTTTGCAATGATTCGAACAGTACTTGTAAGTTTGTAATGGCTTTTCTGAATTATGTTGATTATAGTAAACTCGTATCAATATGATGGCGATTGTGATGGTCTGATTGTGCTGATGGTGATCATGATGTGATGACGATGACGACGAAGACGACGGCGTAGGAAAAAGACCCCACGACGACGATGATCATGCTGATGACGACGACGATGATGCTCATGATGTTTTTTCGACGTCCGAAGACGGTAGTACTCTGGTTCCCCTGACCAAGTAATGCTGTACCGGTGGCATGCCTGGAAAAGAAGTCTGGCTGAAATCTTGTGCCAAAATCCGGCTTTCAGAGAACTTGAGGGTTGCTTTCTCAGTGCTCTGGGTACACTCTAGGCCCCAACCCACCGCCTGCGGGGTCAATGTAGGCACGCGCTCGGGCAACCAGCGCTTGGGCGAAGACCTGTGCGGCGCGGCGATGCCGCAACTTTGTCCCACTTTGTCCCGGGCTTTTCTGTCCGATATCTACCTGTGAGTCAGTTTGACTTGCGAACACAACTCAATGGAAGGTGGAGCCTAAACAACAGGAGCCAGGGGCGAGTGTCAAGACATGAACTACGAACTACACGCAACTACACCCTGAAAGGGGCTAGTAAACACAGCTGAAAGGCGTTGAAGGGTAGTTTGCATGTCTACTGATCAAAGGCCTGCGGGAAGCGCAGGAACTTGACCACATCGTGTGCCGGCTGCTGAAGGCCCTGGCGCAGGTTTGCCCGTCACAAACGTGTTCTGACGATTGCTGACGCCAATCTGGGCACTGAAGGAGCTACAGGTAAAGGAACCTTTGGAAGTAGCAAGGTTTCGGGATAGGGGAGCCCTGGATCCAAAGCAGCAGAGGTCCCTGATCATTTGTACTGAGGGCTTTCGGGTTTCAACTTCTTGGGGCCACGGTGGGCCACGGCAGACTGCCGGACGAGCTGTGATGGGGATCTGGACACGATCCGAGCACGCCTTCTGCATGTACTCATCGGCCAGCTGCAGAAACTGCTTGTGCACGAACTGCTGCTCTGCAAAGGAGCTCAGCCTCAGGCACAGTACCGTCGCACATCAAGTTGCGCCGAGAAAGCCGGAAAAAAAGTTATTTGTTGTGGAAACGCAAGGACAGTCTACACTGTTTCAATGTATTAACTTTTCATGCTTGCTTTGACCCTATGCAACCTCCGAAGCATGTTCGCATTATTGCTAGACCATGGCCTGGGTCGCTGAGGCCCCCAACATGTCAGACAGAGTTACCTGGGCCATGCAGGAGTCGTGCTGGATCATCTCTTGGCATTATGTGGGAAGCCCTGGCTCGATTGCTTCCAAGCCGCCATGTCGAAGGCGTCGACCTTGCCATCCACGGCGCTGAAGTCCTCTTCCTTGCGTCCAGCGGCATTGACAAGTCGGTTCATAATCTGATACGCCAAATTCCAGGGAGCATAATACGAGTACCTTGGAATGGGTCCGGTGGCCGAAAGGAAGGGCAGGGAGGTAAGGGGGTGGAGGGGAGGAGCAGGGCAGCTACATCGGCTAAAGGTTTCAGATTCAGGGGCATTCTAGCGACGGTGCTGCCCACCCGTCCACCCGTCCACCCCTGACTCGACATCTGAGACCGTAATTTCTTCTCCAGCATTACTTAGTGGGCCGTCCACATTCTCAAGTCCAGGGCAAAAGCAGTCCAAATCTACAGACGGGGGTTAGCCATCAAGAGTGGAATGCTGAAGCCTGGAGAAGGGGGCAGCCTCAATGACCAAACGGCGCAAAGCTCTATCAGGGCTTCAAATGCTGCTTTGACAATGGAAGAACAGGCAGAACCGGTTGGTTTCAATGCCAATCGCGCGTACACATTCCTCACAGGGGGCTGGCAGAGACTCAGTATTGGTGAGATGCGAGTTTCCTAAATGAGCGGTAACCGTATTGGGGTCCTTATTACAAGGGGATCCTGCTATTGGGGAGTCTATATTGGGGGGGGGTCCCTAATTTCGGAGACCCCCAGATGGGAAGCTTCACGAAACATCAACCATGGCGGGCACACATAAATGTCTCTGGCCAAGGACTTCATCGGGCGCTTGTAGCACTTCTGGTCGATGCCGTCCCTTCCAACTGAAACCATGCGAAGAGTCTGAGTGGACATGTGAAACATGCCAGCATGACATGGGGGTTTACGACATTAGGGGTACCTTATGGGGGTCCTGATTGTAAGGAGTCCTACTATTTAGGGGGGGTCTATTTTAGGGGTCCCCTATTTTCGTAAATCCCCACATGTTGTAACCTGCTGTGGTGTTGGATCTCTCTTGTGTGTCGTACACCCAACCAAGAAGCAATGACGACAAGGTGACGTGACGACTGGCATGCGCATGCTTCCACCAACCTCATAACTTTTAGTTTCAAACGGTTGTGAAAGCTTGGACCCTATAAACCCTACAATGCCCTATGAACCCGGTAAACCCGATAAACCGTGTAAACCCTATAAACCTATAAACCCTATCATCCCTATCAACCCTACAAACCCTATAAACCCCTGTTTTGGATGCAGCCTGCCTCAAGAGACCGCAACCTGGGTGGGACGGTTGACGGATTGCACATCTGCCGTGGTTCTTCTTCACGTATATGGTCAGTTCTCGAAGTTCGGTACTTTTTGGTTCCCTAAATAAGAGGGGGGCCACCTTATAATAAGGACACAAAAAAATGACAATAATTTAGAGAAATCACCGTAGACCGTACACGTACTTTTGCAGAGTTCACAGACTCTTTATATTTCTGGTGCAGCCAGTTTATCCTGGAAGAACGCCTCCCGTGGTAAGCTTGTGACGCTGTGGCACAGGAGTATGCAGGAGTCAGGGGTTGCCGGCTGTTGGAGGGTTTTTAGCAGAAGTCATGTCATCTGAACTCGGGTCTGGACCGTGGTCGCACAAAGCCTGCATGAGGTCGACGTCACGCATGCCCGCCTGGCCCACACAGCAAGCATAGGCAAACTACGACATGAAAAGCTCGCACGCTCTGCTTGCAGGCCATCGTATCAGCTAAAGTGGCAGCACCAGGAGCGACTAAGATCTTCATTCGTTCTTGACCGCTTACTCTTGAAATCCCGCGCACTGAGCCTTAGCGAAAGCTCTGACGATGGCAGCGACGTCTCTTGGCGTCAGTTCCTCGGAACTGCTGTGGCTCAGCAACAGTTTTAACGCTCTCGGCACTTCACAAAGATTTTGGCTGCTTGGTCTTCAGTCTTTCGGGGCCATTTGGGATGTGGCGGTTGATATCAAGCAAAGCAAAAAGACAACCTTCAACCCCCTGGCGCGCTTGCACAGGCAGACGAATCCTTAAGCCGTGACCCTTCTTGCCTTTTGCTGGGCATCGCACGGCGAGGCGCTCGGCCCGCAAGGACTCTTCCGCCGTGCTCTCGAAAACCTATGCGGATGGATGCCTAAGCATCAAAACCTGAACCGCAAAAACGGCAAAGGCCAGGCCGTGCCTCTGGACTCTCGTGGTTGATGTGGGCGTAGTTCCAGCAGAACATAGCAAGGCCACACCTGTCGAGCTTCTGCACCTTGCAGCCAGTAAACCAAGCGCCACTGGCACAACGATGCAGCCCTGAATGCCTCCTTCTGTTCACACAACTTGTTACGATGATCAAACTCTAAACTTAAAGTACCCTGTTTCACGACCTTCTCTTCGATACTTTGAGCTCTTGCCGACACCGCCATTCAGTCGAATGCAAACGATCTTTGAACCTGAGCTGGTGCTCTGTGCCAGCCTTGGCACATCCTGCCACAGAATTACTTCCCACTCGCGGCCTATCCGTGCGAGAGGTCCCACCAACTTGGCCATTGTGGAGCGCTACTTAACAGGCTTGTCGCATTTTTCGGGAGTCCGGGCGCCCTGAGCATCTCAAAGTCTTCTGTCTTCTGGGGGTTTAGATTCTTATTGACGGGCTTCTGAGATGAAAATCTGGGAACCCTCCTCAACAACTATCACAGTAAAGTCCCATGCTTCATCCCTGGCCTCTGGCACCACTCTCCGGGCAACTGCGTCGAAGAGTTCCTCAGAAGGCAAAGTTTTTCGGGACGGGGTTCGAGCATGTCTGGAAATGAGGTTTTGAGGACAAAGGGTTGCATTTCGATGTGCGTCTCGCAAGTGCTGCAAAAGATTTTTACATGCAGCTGGGAATGCAAGTATTAACGTTCAGGGAACATCATGCTTGGGACTTACGACTTACGAAAACATGGGAACCGCCCCAAAGCAGGCGCAAGGCTCAGGCTGCCGATTTTTTAAGGGAGCTGGGGATGCAGCTAGAGGGTGATTATTAGTTGACATGATTGCTGTCATTATTATTAACGCTACGCGACCCGCCTCGGCCCGGCCCAGCGCATCCGCGTGAGCATGGTGATTCCGCAGTGCCCAAGACCCCAAGCAATAAGGGTTGGGTTGAGAGTTGAGGGTTGAGGGTTCCGGGTTTATGGTTTATGGTTTGGGGTTTGGGGTTGAGGGTTAGTTTAGGGCTCAAGGTTCACGCTTTGGGGTTGGGCGGGGGGTGTGGGGGGGTGGGGGGGGGGGGGTGGGGGGGGGGGGGGGGTGGGAGGGGGGGGGGGGGGGGGGGGGGTGGGGGGGGTGGGGGGGGGTGGGGGGGGGGGGGGGTGGGGGGGGGCTTCAACTGCCTCTGGTCCTGGCGAACCGTCCGCTTGCGGACCCCGGTTTCCCAGGGGGGGTACCCATTTGAGGCCAAAAAAAGGGGTCCGAAAAAGGGCTTTGGGTGTGGGGGAGGATTTGGAGGGGGGTGCCTGCTCTGACAACCTATACACCTCCGGCCCGAAGCCTCGGCGGATATCTGTATTCTACAAAGTTATGAGACTTCTAGTATCATGTATTAGTAAGTGTATATTAGTGTGGTATTTGGCTGTCAGAGATTTTGCTGGTTTTTGGCATTGCTAGAACACAGCATGTCATTTGCTTCTGCGCGCCCAGCTGAGCTCGCCGCTGTGCACAGAATCAGCGGCTTACAAAAGCTCCACATGAAGTAAACACAACCTGAGTTAGGGTTTAGGGTTTAGGGTTTAGAGTTGATGCACTAGGGTCGGGGTCCACTCATAGCTGCCAACTCACAGGGGACTTCTATGTCAGATGGCGCTTGCGAAGCTACAAGAAAGCGCACAGGCAGCTTAGGGGAGCACTGACCGGGTGGATGTCATTGATCCTGAGAAGGATTGACTCTGGTCTGGGTTTTTGGGGAATGGGCTGGGTGGGGTTGAATCTGATTCATCCGGATGCATGAAAAGCCAAACATGGAAACTTGAAAACGTTGACTTGCCGCTTGCCATCACACGTACAGGACTCGTCTATAAGTTGTAAGCCCTCACAGCCCTGAAGGGAGTTCTGTACGAGTATATTGTACCCGTTTTGTATCCATGTGTCCCCACTTGTCCTTTCCAGCAGCAGCGGGGCCAAGTGATCGTAGAATTCTGCTTTCGCGAACCCACGAAAATCTCCTCAACCACGCAGGCTGAGCATTGCTCTCAAGCAAAAAAACGGCTGAAATAAACAAGCTCGTTCTCCAATGCAAGCTTCGCACTGCGCCCGTGCGGCTGAGGCCGCGACGAGGATTTTCCAGCGAGCCTTCGGCAGGAGTCCCAGTGCGAGCACAGCATTTGGTAGGGAGGGCCGTGACAAGTAACAAATCGAAATCGAAGCCAGCCCTAAATTTCATTACTTTCTGAAAATGCTCGTCTGTGGGTGGTCATTCGGGGCTTGTTCTGTATTCGAGCGCCGCGGCCCTTGTTGCTGCGCGCTCTTGCGTGTACGTACCCGGAAGTACACCACTAAGCCCAATCCTGCCCAGTGCTAACTTCCTGGGCTGTTAACGTCACTGTGTTGACAGTTCTACCCGCAGAAAGGAAAGCAAGAAAAGGGAGGACTTCGAGGTGGAGCGGTGAAGGGCTATGCTGCTCCCAAGGTTGGTGCTTCATTTCAAATACTTCAGGCATGCATCTTGGCTTGCTTTGGGTTGGGGTTTCTGCGGTCTTGAGTCCAAGTTGGTGTGAGTTGATCTCATCTTTGCACGGTCTAAGGATGCGAATGTTGTGTCTCCCCACCTCGGTTTGACCAAACGCCAGCAGAAGCCCGAAAGAACGTCCAGAAACACGGCTCTCGCACGTCGGAGAGTACCTGGTTCAAGGACTGCTCTGAACATTTCCAGAATCTCACATACCGTGAAGTGGAAGTCGAAGAAAGGTTTCGAACTCTCACTCGCATGCCTACCGAAACAGACTGCTGCACTGACCAGCTTGCACTCAGATTGCAGCTGTCAGAGCATGGAACCCAAAACCGTCTTTGAGACATCTTGAGACATTCCGGGCAACGGACTGCGGGTCAGAAGTTCATCTTACTTAATTAGCAGACTTAGCACTCCCTTGTCAAAACCTTTGACATATGAGCAGGTTGTGCTCAGAGGTTGGGGACATGTTGAAACTACGAATTAAGGGGCCTGATGCGCCACCCTCTACCATCGCGGATTCTACGGCAGTGTCACGGCAACCTTATTGATAAGCTTGCCGGAACAACTTTCAACACACCCATGCGCAACAAACCTCTACCAAACTCTCGAAGGCCCGTCCACGCTTTCAACGAAAAACATCGACCCGTCTCTGCAACAAAAGTGTCTAAAACTTCCTGATCCATAAACCCTAAAGCCGAAACCCTAAGCCCTAAACCCTAAAACCCTAAACCCTAAACCCCTCAACTCCCAAATCCTCATTTTCGGACCGCTTTGCATTTTGATGCCTTCGGCTCGAACTCGACCAGGGCCCGCGCGCCCTTTTCAGCCTCAAGGTCACAATCCAAGGTTTCCAGGTGATTAGGGGGTCAGGGGGTTCAGGGTTTAGGGTTTAGGGTTTAAAAGTGATTAGGGGGACGTCGGGGCTTCGGAACTCCCTAGCAGACTTCCTCTGCACTTTAGGCTAAAGAACCGGGCTTAACATCGGCAAGGGCTCTGGGATTCGAAGCCGTTTTTTCTTGCTTCTCTGAGATCCGGGGCTTCAACAAGAGTCAGCATCCAAACCCCGTCTTGAGTGCTACCTGTGTAAACCACTGCGGCCACCCACCATCAACTTGATGTTGGTCCTGTAAATCACTGCGGTTACTCCCTGAAAACTCTGCTTTCGGATGTGGTGGCTCGGGCAAAGGCATGGGCTGACCGGGGATGTGTCTCTGACTCAAAGACGGGAGGGTGCTTTTTGGACTCTCGACTCTCATCTAGATGCCCTTCAAGAACTAGTGAACTATTCACAGCTACAGGGTCTCACAATTCCAAAGCTGCCGATCCGAAGCCTTGGGGCCAGCAGTCTGGCGCAATGCCGCTGAGCGACGAGGGCTTGATAGAGCTCCGTGTGCACGACGCCTACCTGAACCCACAACGAGCGGTCTTACTGCTCTTAGTACTATTCTCTACTGAAGGCAGGAGAGTGGGACGTCCGTGCCCTCTCCTCGAAGAGTGTACATGTCCACGACACAACAAATCCCGAACATGAACTATCTAGAAGTCAGAGCCTTCAAGTTTCATTCGAATCAGGAAATAAAAACATAACACTGCTTTAATTCCATATTTCGACCTGTGGAAGTTCAAATGATGACATCTTCCTTTTCCTGAATTCTTGGGCGGCTAACAGTCGGGGGGCGGGGCTCTATTCGGGTTGAGGAAGTGCTTGCTTCACCGGGGCTCCCTTTCAACGACCCTCTGGGTCTTCGTAGGGAAGGAGGGAATGAGGGCCCTATATATACCCTTTAAGGGATGATCTAGTATATCTACCCTTTTTAAGGGATTATGTAGGGCCTACTTCCCTCATTCCCTATATATACCCTTTAAGGGGTTATATGGGACCCTGCTTCCCTCAATCCCCCTAAACCCTAAACCCCAAACCCCAAACCCCAAACCCTAAACCCTAAACCCTACTAAGAACCAGCCAGAGGAGCCTCCGTGAAGGCCCACAGCAAGGCGGACAGGCAGCCACCCTCGGCATCAAAGTCCAGCTCCTGGAGGAGACGTAGGGTTTAGGGTTTAGGGTTTAGGGTTTAGGGTGTAGGGTTTAGGGTTTAGGGTTTAGGGTTTAGGGTTTAGGGTGCGTGATTGCTATCAAAATGCGAGAGGATGCTGCGTGTACAGGGGTTTTGGGTTTAGGGTTCAGGGTTATACAGGGGTTTAGGGTTGAGGGTTTAGGGTTATACAGGGGTTTAGGGTTGGAGCTTAGGGTTATAGTAGGGGTCTTGCTTCTCTCATTGTGCACGTCCAGTAGTAAATCAAGATGCCGATGCACTATGATGCACTCCTCCAACCGTTCGTGTAGAGCATCGCCCAGCGAACTGAAGCAGTGTTCATCATAGACCTTGGGCTACTAGTGCAAACCCAACGAGGATGCCAGCAGTCAAGCCATATCATGACAAGTGGCAGTCTCGGGACATGCCTGCCGCCAACTCCAAAAATTCGTGGGCCCCCGGCACCAGCAACCGCAAATGCACACGCGACTTCGGCCAGTTCGGCGGCGACCTTCATGCTTAGTTGTAAATGGAAACATGGTGGAATTAACCGTTGTGCAAGTCCAGAAACATAGGGTGCGTGACTGAGCTGCATCAAGATTTTGGGGTAGTCGAATGCGTAATGGTAGCCACGTGCCCGGTAGATCCTTGGCCTAGACTCTAGGAGTCAAAATCCACCGAAAACACTTTTTCCCTCCCTCCACTTACTTCACTGAGTGCAACACGAAGTCAGAGCCTCGCGGCCTTTGCGGGCTTGCTTGGGGAGATGCTGGTTCTGGGTAGAAGGGTGCCACAGATGGTGATTTTGCCGAGTCTTGCACATTTAAAAACCTCTGCACCGTCTCCTGTGTAAACAAGAGACATTTGAATCGTATGGCAGTGTACAAGCGTCTACAGAGAACAGAGTTTGTAGATGCTGAATTAGCCCTGAGATATTGGTCATCTCATCCCAATTTAAATCAGTTTGCAATGGTGCCGCTTCAACATTTACGCAGCTACCCCTTCAGCTTGGTCACTTGAGCACGAGATCATTGCTCAGTGGCAACCACATTTGAACTATCCCAGAGCGATGCAGCTTGTGAAGAAGACTGCGCTTGGATCTAGCACGCCACATCAGACCAAGAAAAACCTGGGCATAGATTGCAGCTCAGGCGTGCTTTCTTCGAAGCTTTCGTATGCTTTGGATTTGTTGTAGGTTTTGGCAGCTCTTAGTGGTGTTCAAAGTTTCCCCAGTGTTTCTAGCAAAGCATGCGGGTGTCTTACGTAAGAAGAAATCACGTCTTCGGCAAACCGTCCCTGAGGCAAAACCGGACCGGCCAAGCAGGAGCTTCGTGCAGAGTGTCAAAGGGAATCTGGGGCAAGTTTTGGGAGAATGTTCAGGAAGTTCTCCGGTCTTTCTAGGGGAACCCTAACCCTAAACCCTAAACCCTGAATCCTAAACCCTAAACCCTAAACCCTAAACCCTAAACCCTGAACCCTAAACCTTCGGGACCCCTATGTGTATAACCCCTTCCTCCACGAATGACAAGTGTCTTCTGAACTAGCACCTCTCGGGCTCCCAGCAGGACGACATAGTTCAAAATCAGCTGCATCCTTGGCTGATCTTAAAGGATTCCACGCTGTTTCGGGTTTAGGGTTTAGGGTGCATGTTTTAAAATCACACCTTCCGCGAGATCTTCCGAGGCTGTGGCAACTCGTGATGTTGGTCCTGGGATCGGGCCAAGTCCCACATCAAGTCAGTGACCTGAGCCGCAAAGCCAAGTGGGCCATGGCCATGTTTGCCATCCTCATAGAGGGGAGCAAGAATTAGACTTGATGAATTTAATAGATGCCGATTTCTGCGCACTCCAGATTCGCCTGGACTGTGGATGCCTGGCAAGTTGATGCAGGACCCCAGGTGCTGGGCCTCTAAAATAGGTCTTCAAGGCTTAGGAACTTGTAGGCGGTTCTTCGTTGTCTTCTGGTAATCGAAACGGGCTCTGCAGATTGATTGATTGATTGATTGATTGATTGCCTGTGGGCGCGAACGCCCTTGCGTCTGCAAGGCAACAAAGGCTGCCTCAAGCCGTACAACAGGAGACAGCACGCAAGCACGAGAGCATCTCGAGGGCAGAGGTGCATTGCATCCCTGCACCGTCCAAATCACGATACAAATCTCCACAAGCATGCATGCACCGACAGTGCATGTTCTCAGCGGCAACAGGTGTGCATGATGTCCCAATGTCACCGACTGACTTGCTGACTCAATCAGAACCTATAGCCTGAACTCTGCAGATGATGCCCGCCACCATGCCAACCCGAGAATTTGTCTTGCTTGGTGATCCGGCATCCCGGGTGGGAAACTCTGACGGGTTGGCTTCCATGTACTTGGCCAGCTCCTGGAAGCTCGAGGATTCAGGGCGAGCGTTGGTCAGCAACTTAACGTTAAAGCAAACGTCTCAGGATCTTCCAGATCAAAGCATCCAGCTACAGTTTTTTGATGCTACCGGCGGGGGGGAAGGACCTGGAGGCAGTGTAGTTGGGGAGGGAGCAGTGGCAACCATGTTGCCGGCCTCTGGCGCATGTTCGCCATCGAAGTTCTTGCCTGCAATGGTATTTCTTCACTCACGTGGGGATTTACGACAATCATGACCCCTAATATAGACCCCCAAATAAAAGGATCCCCTTATAATGAGGACCCCAATCAAGTACCCCTAATATCGCAAACCCCCAAGGCAACTTCATGGCTGATCACCGTTTGCGGTCTGAATCCTAAACATCCTCAACCCCGATACCACAGCAACCATTTTCGAAGATTTTTAACCTCAGAACAGTCAAAACTTGACTAGCGGCGTCTGTGAGCTTGGTGCAGCGTACTAGTGCCTCCCTCCCCGGCCTATCAAGTAGCGGCGGACTTCCGGCATGTCGAGCCTGCAAGGGCGTGCTCCCCGAAGAACCTTAATAAAGATAGCATCTTGTAAACGACATATTTAATATTCCCTTGGGTTTTGTAGGTACATAAAAATTCCCAAGGTGGCTATAGGCTTGTTTTTGGAGCCCAGCCTCGCCCGCTTATGAGGCGGGAAGGGTTTAGGGCTTGGGGTGAAGGGCTAGGGTTTAGGGTTTAGGAGGGGACCACGGCCAGGGCAGAGACTCTGTATGGCGGGCTATCCATTTTGGAATGGCCACCATGAAACACGGAACTCACTTTCTGTGCCAGACGATGCGACAGCATGCGAAGACACCCCTGAGCACGGGAAGCAGACACTCAGGCAGTCATGTTTCGGAATGTCCTACAACGATTGGGATGGGTGCGGGTCCTACGGAATGCTACGTACCTCTGAAGGGGCTGGCCTCCCACGTGCCACTGTGTCCCACCCTTGCAAACTTTAAGACCAAACGAAAACCAGACATTATCCTGAACCCTCCAGCCATCTCAAACAATTTTTCCCCAGATCCCAATCGCACCAGGCCTGATGTCCTCGTCGTCTGAGCCACGCTGGCCCAGAATCTGGCCACAGCTGGCTGGGCTTTAGTCTTTGGGGCTCTCCAGGCGTTAGAGTCCTGCACTGGTACATGACATGGTATTCATTGGCATTCAGGCATGGGGATGTCTTGCATTAGGTGGTTGTGCCTTGTGCTGCACAGGATTCGAGGGATCGATGCCGTAGTCTGCGAGAAGCTTGAAATCAGCTGCCACGGCCCAGAAGACCTGCCCGAGTCTGGGTCACACAGCCCTCAGCAAACCAATCTAGACCTGTATCTTGCCTTTGGTTGATAAGCCTGCCTGTGCTCTAAAGACGCGAGAGCCTTGCCACCGGTGGCGGATGCCACGATGAGCCGATTGTTCGCCGCCAGCACGTCCTGCAGAGTCTTCAGGGGCCCGGCAGGGAGCTCGGGAGCTCCTTCGTGGGGAATCGACAGGAGCTCGCACCGACACCCTAAACCCTAAACCCTAAACCCTAAACCCTAAACCCTAAACCCTAAACCCTAAACCCTAAACCCTAAACCCTAAACCCTAAACCCTAAACCCTAAACCCTTTGCAAAAGTTGCCATCATGCCTTGGAGAACATTCGCCCTCCCATGAAGGCCTTGGCATCGACGAAGACCTCATCGCCACTGACCAGCTGGTACTTCCTGCGATGAGCAGACTTCGTCAGTACGAGACACTTCTCGATGCTTCTCGGGGAAGATTCTGGTGAGCAAGTCATCGCAAATCCCCGCATGATAATGATGCTCCACCTGTTCTTCACAGTCTGTGGAACTTCAATCTGACATGTTTCAACGACCCCCAAACCCTAAACCCTCAACCTTAAACCCTAAAGCCTAAACCCTAAACCCATCAGCTTATCAGATGCCCTCCCGCCCCGCAGTCACGCTGCCACGCTTGTCTTGCTTGTCTTCCTCGGCAGAGATCGCCTGGCTGCTTGCAAGTATCCTCCATTGATTTTGGTCTGGTGCAGCCTCACTATTCAAGCGATAAAGCAGTCGTGCACTTGACATACTGTAAGGCACTGTAAGGACTGAATGCTCTCAATTAACCAAGCACATCCATGCACTTTCCACCATGCTTACAGAACAACACAAACCGGCATCAAGCAAGATCTCCGCACCTCTGCGAGCAGCTCTGGAAATGCCCATGCCACCAGAACCGCCATGGACTGGCGCCTGGGATTTTCGCGGACATGTCGTAAAAGGGGGCTCAGATGGGTGCCCCTAGTTTAGGGTTTAGGATTGAGGGTTTAGCAAAAGTTTAAGACCTTTGGTGGCTTCTGCAAAGCGTTGGAGGTCCCTTGTTTGTCAGCCAAAATCAAGACAGAAAGCGTTTTGCTTTCCAGGCGGAACACACATGTTCGCATGTATACGTCCACTTAGCTGGTGCCCGAAGCTTTTCACGCTGAATCAGGATCTTCTGGTTGAGCGCAAGAAGCAGGAGACAAGCAGTACATGTCTAAGACTCGCAACCTGTGCTTTGCAGAGGAGTCACAGCAACCTGCGTCCGAAAGGTCAAGCTGAAGCCACACAACTTACACGACGAAGTACCAACGATGGAACATTCGGACTAGCACTGTTTACTTTCAGCAACACTAAGCCACTAAGCATCCCACTCCCAATCGCGCTGCGCCTTTCCAGCCTCCACCTGCCCACAAGCTTCAACGCTCAGGAGCCCTTTGAAACAAGACTGTTGCTTCACATGAAAATCCCAGACACTGGAGAGGGCCTGGTAGGCCGGTTTTTTACTGCAGATGCGACTGATCGAAAAACAACAAACCCCGGACCCAAAATTCAGCGCCTTGGTCAACCTGGCAAGTGATTGGAGCTGTGACGACGCCTGCATGGAACGGCTCGGTGATTTTCGAGTCTCATCACGTAAGCATAGATGTGTGTGAAGCGGCTGATGCGGCAGAGGCAAGAGTCCAGCACTTGTCAAGCCGATGCCCAGCCAAACTGCTTGAAGAGACCTACTGCAAAACCATGTCAAACATGCGCTTGTCAATCATTCTCCGACGTGATCTAACGTGAGCCCCTGAACTACACCACCCTAAACCTTAACCTAAGCCAGTTTAGCCAACAAATCTTTTCTTGCCGGATTCAAAACAGCCGTCCTGTTCGGTTTGAGTCCCCGCAAACCTGTTCCAAATGACATTGCAATCGTCGTCGTCCGCCTCCTGCTCGTCATCACCATCAGCAGCATCAGCCCCACCATCACCACCAGAATCATCGCAACCACGATTATGATTACTATTATTGTTATTATTATTGTTATTATTATTGTTATCATTATTATTACTATTATTATTATGATCATCATCATGAGCATCCTCGTCCAAGTCATGATTATCATACCAGCATCTATCATCGCCATCGTCATCTATCATCCAAGCTGACAATGTCTAACAATCATGGCAAAACATATTTAACCATTCTAACCACATCACCAGAATAATCCTCGTCACTCATCATCAGCTTTGTTGCGAGTCTTCCTTAGGGAAGGACATCAAATACATGCACTCACCAAAACTTACAACGAGCCCCATTCATAAATGCACACTCACCAACAACAGCCGTGCAAAATCTACCTTCAGACCTGAGCAAGATCGAAAGCAAGGCAGCGTCTGACCCCTGTTCGAACTCCCTCCACGTACGGTCCCCGACCTGACTGCTGAAACGGGCCTTGAGGATCCGTTCGCGCACTGTGTACATGACCTCAAATTTAAACAATGCCGTTTGGGCTGTTCCCCCTTATACTAACAGTCCTTAATAGGGATTATAGTAGGGGGGTACTATAATCCCAATTAAGGACTGTTCGTATAAGGGGGAACTCCCAAAGCGCCGCTCCTCACCGGAAGATCTGCGCGTTTCTTGCAAATCCACGGCCCTGGTTAGGGTCCGCACGGAGGAGCTGGCGTCTTCCTGGAGAGCTTCCATCCGCACCTCACATCAATGATTGGCAACTAGGATGGCCCTGAAAAAAACACCTTCTAAAAGCGGTTCCTGAATATGATCCTCGTAAATCCAACAAGGGAAAATAAAAAATGCCCCCCAAGAGCCTGCCTAGGCAAAACTCCGGCGCCAAACAGAAAGACACCGGGTCAAACGTGCAGCCTGCCACTTCTGACTGAGGAGACATCCTCAGCTTGTACTGTTTGTGATTATAGTTCATTACTAATTGCATGTTGAGAACTGCTGGTGTCCAGCGAAAAGATTCGGAATCCAGGTTTTATCGAGATTTTGCTATGGATGTAATAAAAGTCTAAACGCAAGGTCATCACGCGTGAAAGCACACTACTTTACATGTTGACCCGATGATGTTGAATGAATATCTGCATATTATGTCTTTCCTCTAACCATGAACAAGTGCCACTCTAAGACAGGATACACCTCCCGACAAGGAAGCGTTGAAGAGAGCTTACGCATCCACAGAACATCCGGGAGGGTTCCGCGGCACCGGGTGACCCAGCGCGGCCCAAAGCCGGGCCATGTTGCTGACGACACTATCACAGGAGTTGACCCATGCCCCCCAACACCCGAAAATCCCCGTGAAGTGGCTCAGCAGCCGAAAAAAACCCCCAAAAACGAGCGGGGGGGAAGCATCATGCGGGAGCCATGCCGCACCACGGACATGGACGATGTCGGTGCCCCCACCCACCCTCCCCCTCCCCCCCCCCTTAACATGACTTCTAGGCGCTCTGCGTGTGTGTTTTCGCTCCATCCGCACGTTATAATCCGCAACAGTTCTGATCCAGACATGAAACCGAGGTCGAGTGGGGAGGTGTCTGTGTGTCTGCGTGCATTTTGGCTTTAGAGGGTCAGCTCGGACTGCCATTATTCAGATCACCGGGTCACGTGGAACGTTCGAGCGGTGCTTGCGACATTGCCAGATTTCTTGCTAGAAACTCACACGCTGTCCCTTTCTTGAATGCCCGTTATCTCTTTACATGGGCTGTGGTTGCGAGGGAGCCCCTTTCCACGCCCGAGGTTTCCTGAACAAGTTGGGCACCTCCGAAGGTATTCCACCAGCACAGGAACATGAAACCGCCAACAACACAGACATGTGGGTAGTTTCCTAAATTAGGGTCCCTTTTTGGGTACCCATTATAAGGCGGCACCCTTTAAAAGGGATCCCAAAAAGGGACCCCAATTTAGAGAACTACCCATGTGCAAAAAACAGCGGAAAACGAGCAGAGGCCTGCAAGTCTGTGCCATGCAGGCGCCGGCCACCTGCAGCTACTGCGTTTCACCGGCCATGCCAGCAGCTTCTGAGGCACATTGCGTGCATGGTGAGAGGGTTTAGGATTTAGGGTTTAGGGTTTGGGGTTTAGGGTTTAGGGTTTAGGGCAGACAGATCTGCAAAATGTAATGAAACATTGAAACGTTCCCCGAATGAAATGTCTGACGACCTCGATGTGTGCTGCAGCGGGTTTTAAGCGCTCATGCGATCCCTCTTGTGGGGTGGATTAGGGATTTAGGGTTTTGTTTGGCATCCCACATTCTACAGTCTACGAAGTGCATATAACGAGTCCCTTTTGCATCAAGGCTTTATGGAGCGCAGGGAGTACAATGCAATGGGCACGGGCCACATGGGTGACCGGCCAGTCGGGAAAATCATTTCAAAAATAGGAAGGACCGAGGAAACCCTTCCCTAAACCCTAAACCCTGAAAGTCCTCAAGCCTTGAATACGCCTAGCAGCTGTAAAACCTTGAAGTCATGAACCCTAGAACCCTGTCGACTTATACGACCCTAAACCTTACAGGCCCCAGCATCCGCGCGTACATATTCATGTACTGGGGCCCTAAATCCTAAACCCTAACCCCTAAACCCTCAAGCCCTCTGCAACTGTGTCCGTACATCTCTGAGTCTCTGCACTCATCACTGCGCAATTTCCCCGGCATGTTCACTCTGCCCTTTGGTCCTGTCTCTTCACGCTTCCTTTTCTTCTTCTTTCTTGCAGCTAGTACTGTCTTTTTTCTTCTCCCTCACGTCCTACCAATTACCATCACCTTCTTCTCTGTTTATTGTTTTTCTTCTTCCTCCTACTACTGCGCTTCCTCTTCTTCTTCATGATCCTAGTCCTGCTTTCTCTTGCTCTTCATCTCGAAGGCTGAATGTCGTGGCCCACAGGCCTCTGACAAGAAAGGGAGAACAGCCTTTAGAATTTCAGTCCAATTTCAAGCAAGCACAGGGGGAATGCAGCTTGCAGCATGCTTTTACATGGGCCCTGGCTTGCAAAACCAGCTGGTACCCTCGTCGCTGAACACAAGGAGACAGATACTACAACGCCAAAGGTTTTAGCCGCAGGGCGATCATCAGTCAAGGGTGTCTCAGGCAACAGGCGGTTTCGATTGCATAACTGCAAATCACGCCGCGAATCAATCTCCTAAATCGAGCATTTGCAAATCCCACTGCTGGCCGCTGTGCACGTTTCGTGCGTGGCGACTTCGAACTGCATCTGACTCATGCAGCGCTGTGTTGAAATTGCATCTTCTTAGCGACTTGCTGCAATTTCAAGAAGCGCTGCTCCATCTCGTGCGTGAAGATCTCACGCCGCTCATGGTCGTCCGGCGGGACCATCAACTTGAACTCCTTTTGCTCAGCCAGCTCGTTTGCCAGCATGGATACCTCGACGTCTTGAACTGCTGGACCACAAGCGCTGAAGGATTCCAATTTAATGGAGCCCTCCAGGTCACCTCAGGGGTGATCAGAAGCAACCAACACAGAAAAAAATCAACCAAAGGTATTGCAGTTGAGGCTGTGCTGATGATCAAGCTGGTGGTGGCAGGGTTGGTGTTGGCGACGGACTGGTGGCTGCTACTGCGACACGCGCCTTCGTGATGCTTCATGTGCTATCCCCTGAATCCGGTGGCCCACATTGCTAAAGAAGAACCAGCAAGCTCAAGCTAAGGCTGCACAAAAACTAGTAAACAGTAGCAGGCATGGCATGTTGCCTGGTCCCCGTCCAATGGCACAACGTAGTTCAGAAGCGCCTTCTGCGCCCGGGCGCCAAGTCACGATGATGTTGTGCATCATTTCCTTTGCCATCGCCGGATCCTTCTGGAGGAACTCCTCGAGCTCGTCGCGAGTAACCGAAAGCATCCTCATCTGGGAGATGAGGCTGGTGTACATGGGAGATGCTTTCAAATCCACCCTGTGTAGGGTAATTGCTGGCTGCTGGCGTGCCAGCAAGGTGGCGGTGGGAGCTGGCACCTGGTGTAGGGCGCCTCTGGCGCTGCAGTTCCTTTCATGGCGCCGGCGCGCGCACCCGAAGCCTTCGAGCATGAAGAGGCCCACCCGCTTACCGCAGTAGCGGCAAGCCGCGCGCTCGCAAGGTGCCATTGCTTGGCGCAGGAATTCAGCTGCGCCACTGCAACCGCGCCTTTCAAGATCTAGTCTTGAACCGCAGAATCTCGCTGCCCAGGCCACCCTGAACCATCTATGAACTTACTTTACTCAGACCTACAACTTATTAACTCGAAGCCCCAAATCCCAAACCGTTAAGCTTTTCAAAAAAGCGAGGGAGATAGTGCGAGCCCAACCATCCCAAGCAATCCCACTAACAACCTCTCTGGCTCTCTCTGTGTCCGATGTATTTCTTCATTCAGTAACCCGTAATCCTAAACCCTAACCCTACATCCCTCAACCCTAAAGCCTATAACCCTGAGCCTACCCCCCCCCCCCCCTCCAAACAAAAAAACCGCCGACCCGAAACCCTATACCCAAAACCATAACCCTATACCCTTAAGGAACGGCCATAACTTGAAATTATTAAAAAGGAAACTCCTCGAAACTTCTCGAAACTCCCCCGAAACTTTCCCCGGACCTGACCCTTAATAATTTCAATAAACCCTAAACCCTAAACCCTGAACCCTAAACCCTAAACCCGGAACCCTAAACCCCAAACCCCAGCACCTTCCTGGCATTTGCTATCGGCCGCGGCCTCGCAGCAACTCCTTCTCTTCGAGAAGTGCAGCCAAGTCCTTGGCAGCGGGAGGCGGGGCGAGTTCTCAAGTGCTTCTTGCAGAGGGTCCAGGGTTTAAGGTTTAGGGTTTAGGGTTGAGGGTTTAGGGTAAGCATTTTGGGGGGTTTGCGAAATTTTCGGGGGCACCTTACTGGGGTCTTCATTCCAAAGGGATCCTACTATTAGGGATCTATGTTGGGGGCCCCCCTATTTTCGTAGAGTGAAAAATTTTGGTCTGACCGCTTCAAGTGAGAGGATTCCTAGGTCAGCTGGGATTCTGCTTCTGCAGTCTTGCGATGTCTTGCGTGCGGGAGCATTAAGACTGTGTCACAAAAACCTAGATCAGCTCATTCGGAAAACAAGCCCCGTGCAATATGTTTTCCTGAGTGGGAATGTCGTGACGATAGAAGGCGCCAAAGCCATACCTTCTGCAGCATAAGCCGTCCTCGGGAACATCCAGTAACCTCGAACCACGTTGTAAGAGTAAGGACCCTCCCCGAGTCTCGTGAGTGAGTCTCGTTACTTGCTGCGAGCTCTGACAACCAAACGCATCTGTTCCCCCTTCAACAGCTGACCCTTTGTGAAATCTCAGGTCCAACACAACATGCACTGAATAGCGTGGTTCTCAATGCAAACAACCGATCGAATGGACTGAAGCCCCCAAAACCCGCAAAAAGAACCAGTGGCAGGGGCACCGTTTTTGTCTTCTGTTGTTCCGCATGTGCGCAGCTGCGCAGCTCAAAGCACAGCGGAGCAACCTACTTTTAAAAGATGGACATCCGGCCCTAAAGCGACCAAACCCACATACCGAAGCTAGTATACCGAAGATTCTGGCACTCAAGAAGTCTGCATTCGGGGTTCGGGGTTGAAAAGAGAAGGGAGCCATGGACCTAGCAGGATACCGACAGTTGCCCTCGTTCTGACAGATCAACGACTGCTCTAACAACGCATAATCTCAGGATTAGGATGCAAGCAGCCCGCAGGCAAGAACCCAAAACGGGAGGCATCCTTACGACCCCAGTTTTCTTCGTCCTTAGCGCAAACATGACTCAGAGGACTTGTGCCATGTCACTGCCAGTAAAGCCGTCGGATGCTACACGCAAGGGTTGTCACAACTTCGCTGCACCGTAACGGTGTTGTAGCTAAGCTACGAAGCTCGGCCACGACTCAAAAAAGTGCAACTGTTGCCAAGTTGTTCCCTCAGGTCGCAAGGAGATCTGCCGTAAGCTTGGGGCTTGTCTTGCACGGCATGGATCCTCCCTGCGACTCGTTGGCTTGTACCAGAGAGCACGAGCAACTTGGACAATGATTCCGCATGATTCCGCACTGCGCCCCGAACGCCAGAGCAGGTGAACACAATCTGAATCAGGAGAAACGTCGGAACAGCACTTTATGCTCCGACCTCATCTGTTCTTCTGATGGGCATCTTAAAGAATTCAGGCCAGCGCGTTCGGCACCGAAGATACACGATGACGATAGGTGTGCTTCTCGTGGTCAAGTTGTGTCTGTTCCTTGCTACCTGTGCTGCACCAGTGCTACCAGTGTACAGGTCTTCAGTCAGCTGGCTAAGAGCTGCGCTAAGGTAAAATCAAAGAAGGCCTCGCAGCAACTTGGCCCTGATGTGAGGGTTCAGGGTTCAGGGTTCAGGGTTTAGGGTTTAAGGTTTCTACTTCCCTTGACCGATTCAAGCTGCTGCGACTGCTCCTGTGATTCACCTCGCCGGACTGTTGGCGAGAAGTCTCGTGCCCACATAAGCAGTAACAAACTCGCTTGGAGAAGTCCACAAGAGATACCTTGGGAGTGGCGATTTGTAAAAGGAGCCCCCGGCCGCTTTTCTTCTCACAAGCATCTGGCCCTCAGTGCTATGAGGTTTTGTAGGATCTCAGAAGTCTTGAAAAAGTCTGAAAGAGTCTAGGATGGCCCTAAAAAAAAACCTCCTGAAAAATGATGAAAAACACTCCTGAACAGGATCCTCTTAAACCCAATAAGGGAACGTCAGCCTCTTGCGCGTCACAAGTAGCTCGTAGCGCCTGCTTAGGCCGCAAAGTCGACGCCTTCGATCTTGTCCTCGCACTCCTGAAGTGCGGCTGCATCGGACCCACGTTCTGTTCGGCTGTTGGGGTTTAGGGTTTAGGGTTTAGGGGGGATTTTCGTGAAGCTCATGATCCCAGCCTGGTAGACATCCCGCAACTTCTGGATGTTGTCCTGGCAAAAACTCGCAAACATTCAAGCATTTCCAGCATGTCCGTGATGCATGATGATGCCTGCACTTTGTAAGCAACAGCATCTTCGTCTCGTTTCTGGTGCCACGCAACATCCATGCCCCTTGGGGCCTCGTCAGTGTCCCAGTAGCCCTTTGCATTGGCTTCCAGGAAAGTCTGCACCTTCGCGCAACAGCGTACAGCAATGCAAAGCCCATTCCCTTGGGAATCCACACGATGACGGCGGACTTTGAGGCTCCGGCCATGTCCCTGAGGGCATCCGGGTTCGCCTCCAGCATCCTGTGAGGCCGACAGGGACGAGTCTAACAGTGGGAGACTCGTTGTTGGAGTCGCTTTATGCACTTAGACGCCCTGAGCAGGACCCGTGAACCCTACGATCCCTCTTCAAAACACGCCCCGCAAAAGATCACAAGGCTCTGGGCCGAGTCTCTTGTTCTTGATTTCTTCATCTTGGATGTAGGTCCTCGAAGATTCGGCAGCATGACGTCTTCCTACGCAGTCCTATAGGCTGCAATGACCAGCAACTCATGAACTCGTGTCAGCGCACTTGCTTTCTCAATCGAGATGCGTATTGCAGTCTTCGTACACAAAGTTGTCGACCTTGATTGAACATGCTGCCTTTCAGCAGTTTGACGTTGACATGAATCAGAACATAGATGGAACGATGTTGTGCTCTTGATCTGGGTTCTAGCACGCCGCATGGTCTTGAGGCTTCAGCTGCATCTGCGGTCGTACTCCAGCCGAAGGTAAATCTCATTCCTTGGCCACGGCGGGGTGCACACCATGTCAACCTGTGGTTGCCGACTGTTTTTGGGAGTTTTGATATTAGGGGGTACCTTATTGGGGTCCTTGTTATAAGGGGATCCTATTATTTGGGGGTGTATATTAGTTAGGGTCCCTTATTTTCGCAAACTCCCATTTGTGCATTGCATAGGTTCGGCCCAGAACTGGCTCGCTTGCTTGTAGGTTGGTGGCAAACTCAAAAGACGGCAACAGTGCGGTCGAGGTGACGGTTTTCGCAGGGTTTTCGCAGGCAAGCCGAGCTACTATAGGTCTTTCAAGCTGTTTTTCTCTCTACCTCCCTGACTTTCCCTTCTGAAAGGGCCCCAAGGTGATTCAACAGTGCCAGCTGTCATCATGTAAGTACCTAATTCCAGGCGTCGCTTGGAGATCTCCCGGACGCCCTCATAGCCTCCCTTCAAGTTCGCTTCGTAGAACTTCGGGTTCCTCTGCTAGAGCTGCAGGAATTTGGATGGGACACAACAAAAGACTCGGGACCAGGGGGGTGGAGGAGCTCCGGTCATCCGTTGCCGCACATCGCCATGCTTGCTTTCTTTTCACGTGCCGCAGCTTTGGGGAGGCAGCTGTTCAGCTCAACACATACAATGCATCCTGCATCAACCTTAATTGTGCAAGACCACCCGCATCCAAGGTGCAGCAGCTTGGTCCTGCTGTCCAACCTCACCTGCAGGGCAGGGCGAAGACACACCGCAAGAACATGAAATACTATTGGCACTACCCTGGGCGTGTTCAATGTACAAGGAATTTACGGCACGCCGAAACTTCTTTTCGAAGCATTTCGTGATTGGCAACCGTCAGGCTAAATCAAATTGCTTCTGCAGCAGCTGCTCGGCTTAGGGCTTTTAGGTCCAGTCCACGCCCACAACTTGGCTCGTGCGACGGGACTTGGCAAAGTCGAGCCTGGGCCGAGAGGGAGCGGACCTGGGCGTTGGCCGTGGTCGTGTCAGCAATGAGAGCTGCCGGCTTCTTTCCGTCCTGTCGCAGGGGGGAGTTGGGTTGAGGGTCTCGTTGCTCGCGCCCCCTTGCCCGCGCCCCCCACGGCCCCCTCCGCCCCCGATGGTCTCGAGTTGATTGGTCTGGGTACCGGTTTGTTTTGGGGCTTGGCGATTGGGGCTTATATCTATATGGTTTTAGGGCTAGGCTTTTGGGTTTTGGGCTTGGTCGAGGTCTCCCCCACCCACCCTGTGGTGTGGTTGTGTCGGGGTCAGGGTTTAGGGCCATTTTGGGGCTTCTGATTTAGGGCTCCAGGGTTTTCGGCTTTTCGGGCTTCAAGGCTTCGGGCTTCATGGGGCTTCCTTGGGGTCTGGGCTGAGGGCTTGAGGGTTGTGGGCCTCCTTACCACAAACCCCGCGACC